AAATTTCAACCCTACATTCATGCAAATTAAACACCTCAAATATAATTTACATTTTAAATTAATATTTTTATTTTTTTATTTAATTTGAAATTGAAAATCAAAATTGAAAAATTAAGAAAAGATAAACTGAAAATTAAAAGCTTTTAACTATGAAAGGTTATTGAAAGTTACTAGTGCGACCTTAAAATCACCTAGAGGGAAGTGAATAGGTGAATACTACGAAATTAAAATAACTAATTAAAAGCAACAATTACTTTTTAATTGTTCTAAATGTTTAGTCAATTAAGTCAATTTATCCTATGGTTTGAATGCCACAATCAATAATATGAAAGCAATAAATAACACAAACTATGTTAACGGAGAAAAATCAACTAGGTAAAAACTCCGGGACTAAGTTAATAACCTCTACTATAGACAATGATAAACTTAAAGTACGACCCAATCTAGAAAATTCCACTAGACTTGCTGATCTACTTTCTACAATCTCCAAGACCTGCTAGAACATGCTTCACTCACACATGTTCCCGATTTTCTTGAATTGTTTATCTCCCGTGGATCACAAAAATATCTTGTTATTGTACTCTTTCTGTGCTTCTGGTTATTTTCCTCTAAAAGTTATTAAGAAAGCACATTCATGTATGCGTATAGGAAGTGAGTGTTTTAGATTATATGAAGTTGATGTTTTTTTCCAAATATGTGGTTGTATGAATTTAAGAATCAATGAATAAATCAAGGGCTTGAACGTGTACTTGAATATATGACAATACGGAGACAGAATATAATGAACAACCGCCACAAAACGTGCTAGGACTTGGATATTTATAGTAAAATGCATTTAGGTAGATAGTCCGGATAAAAATTCTTGAAAAGCGCAAACTAGGATTTTGCGCGTAACACGGTCACTTGATCGTCAGGCTAGCGACAGAGAGCCTTATTGACTCCTTGACTTTTACAACCTTCCATATTAGTCATCTTGTCTAAATAATTATCAATACAATAAAATCCTAACAGTCATTACTTTTTCTTTATATTACAAAACATACAATGATTGAGGTAAAAACAACTATACTTGAACAACTTGGTTGACAATATTTATGTTTCGCGAATATAATAAAAGAAGAAAGGATTTCTCATTTGGCAAAAAGCTTAAAAAATAAGCTCTCTAAAAAATGTATAACTTTCAAATCAAGAAGACTTTAATTCCTGTATTTGGTGTCTCTCTTCGCTATGAAGACCTCTATTTGTAGTCCAAAATGTGCAATACTCAAATCCTAGTAAATTATTAATTGACACTATGCACCTTTTGAAAAAGGAAGACGTGTTAATATATTCATTGAATCAGAATAAACGAGGGTATTTGAATATTGGTCTTTGTCATTATTATGGTTTTAGGGTTTTGAATATATTTAAACATTTTGTTTTCCTATGTTTTAGTTGGTTGTTTTTTATAAAATAATATAGAATATTGGATTTTCACAATATGCAATCACTTTCCTTTATCAAATTTAGATTAAAATATTATTCTTTGTTCTTGATGTGTGTACTCAGTAAGTTGGTATTAGAGCCAACTTCACACTTCTAACGATGCATTTGCTTATGAAGCTCGTTTGGAAGAGATTCAACGACAAGAAGAGATGACACATTTACGCAGGGGGACATTTTGGTGCAACTCTAATGGCTCAACAAGAATTCATGTTGGCTTGGACATGGAACTCTTGCGCAACCAATTGAAGAATTCCAAAATTGTACTGAATTCATTTAGGAACTGTGACAGTTAGAGAAGCAACAAGGGAAGGGTGTAACTGATCCATTTCTTCAGTCAATGTGGTCTAATGTTCTTCAGTTTTTCATAAACTCACCCCTTAATCGGACAATTGAAATTGGTAAATGAAGTCATAACTTGCCGGGGCTTTGGTCTTTAAGCTCCACCACCGAAAATACAAATTATACACTATCACTGTAAAAGTTTTGAGAGCTTAGAGGTACCAGGACCTGGAACAACATCGATAGCTTGAGGTATACATCCTATTTGTGACTTTTTGTTTTTATTGATCCAATGTAGTTTCGAATCATTTTTAATCTTACATTTGATATTAGAGTCCCCCATAAACTTTATCTTGGTGTTTTGCAAGAACTCTGCAAATCATTTTTTTCTGATATCAAATTTCGAATTTCTCAAGAAAATCAGTTTTCTAGCTTCTCTGTGTTCTTAAACTTGAGTTTTGACATTAGGAA